ACTCTATCACACCCGGCCATTTCCACTCCAAGTCAGTACATCCCGTCAGACGGGCCCATCGATGACTCGGTCAAGAAAATGCCAGCCATCCAACTAAAGGAGCGTACTAGACCCACAAGGGGCTTTCAACTCCCGATAATCAAAACTAAGAGCACACTCCTTTCCGGTACTCAGAGAAGACCTTCGTTCGGTGGCGACGCCATTACTAGAAGGTCGAATCCTTTTCCCTTACTAGGGGCCACTCAAAAGACCCGACACTCGATATTAAAGACCCCCGAAACCCAAGGACATGCCTGTCAAAAATAAATAGAGGGAGTCAGTAAGTAACAAATAAGCCCCCAGCGCCCAATAAGCCGACTGCGTTCTCATCTACTAGGGGAGTGATTTCACGTCCTTCTCTTCGCTACTAAGGGGTTCCTAACGCATACTGAGAGCTTCATCCTTTCTATGGCCGGCCGTTACTAGAGAGACACTAATTAAAGCTTCCTCCACTTCTGCGGCGACCCCTACTCGAAGGCACTCCTTTCAACGATTCGGATCCTTTTCGACACGCATACTCGGAGCTTCATCCTTTCTTTGGCCGGCCGTTACTAGAGAGACACTAATTGAATAGCTTCCTCCACTTCTGCGGCGACCCCTACTAGAAGGCACTCCTTTCAACGATCCCGAGGGACATTACTAAAATCCGTTCCGTTCGACAATGTACTCGGAATTTTCGCATTTTCTTTGGCAAGCCGGCTTACACGGAGGTGCTGCTGAGAGCGTTGTCCTTTTCTGCGACGAGCCCCTACTGAGCTACTGATCCTTTCGACATACTAACAGCCGGCGACGTCTATCTACTAAGGGGTTCCTTTCGCATACTAAGAGCTTCATCCTTTCTTTGGCCGGCCGTTACTAGAGAGACACTAATTGAATAGCTTCCTCCACTTCTGCGGCGACCCCTACTAGAAGGCACTCCTTTCAACTACTCGGATCCTTTTCGACCGGGTACTTGCCTACTCACGGCTTAGCAGCGACTACTGTTTCAGATCCACCGCAAACAAATGCGATGGCCTTACTGAGCCTCCACATCCTTGACGCTCTCGGCTTTCCTCCACGGAAGTTTATCGCTTACTGACAGCTCCGCGGTGGACACTTTCGGGACCTTACAAATAAATGTAATGCCCTTACTGAGCCCCCCACTTCCCTGCTGCTTTCGCTTCCCTTCACAGAAGTTTATCGCTTACTGACAGCTCCGCGGCGGACACTTTCGGGACCTTACAAATAAATGCAATGCCCTTACTGAGCCCCCCACTTCCCTGCTGCTTTCAGCTTCCCTTCATGTGGTAGGAAAGGGCCTCTGTTTGTTCATGTTGTGGCAGGTGCGCATGAGGCGTGATAATAGGTGTCCACAAAATCGCGTTTTTGGTGGTTTCTCCCTTGCACAATAATTTCGAACCTCTTACCAAAAAAGCGGTCAACTCCAGTTATTAGAAATATCCTGAGGGGTCTCCCACAGACAGAAGATATGCCTGGCTGAGCAGAATCATTGGCCTTGTCCATCCAGTCTGCTTTTAAGGTGACCTTTGGAGGTGTACGCTTGCCTGAAAAATATTCCAGTGGCCCCTTCAAAGTCTGTACATTCAAGGGTGCCTGCCTATAAGATTTTCTGATGGCCTCTGCAAGGTCATAAGCCTATGGGCACCGGTCTTAAAAAATATTGTGATGGTCCCCACAAGGCTTTTGGTGCCCATCCAATTTTCTGGTGGTCCCTTCAGGGTTATGCACTGTCTATAATATTTTGTACTGGACTCCACAAAATGTTGTAAGTGAGCATCTACAAAATATTGTGCTGGTCTCTACAAAACATTGTAGTGGTCCTCACAAGTTTGTGACTGCCCACACCCAAGGGCACCTGCCTACAAAATATTATGATGATCCATGCGAGGTTGTGGGCATCTACAAAATATTTTGTTGGTCTCTACAAAACATTATGGCCCTTATAAGTTTGTGACTGCCTACAAAATTGTGTACCGGACTCTACAAAATGTTGTAATGGTCGCCCACCTACGCTGTGAGTGCCCACAAAAATTTGCAATGGCCTCCACAAGTTTGTAGATGGACGGTCTCAGAGCGCTTACTTGCCTACAAAATATTCTAATGGTGCCTACTAGGTCGTAACCCCATGGTCGCCTGCACATGTGGAATGAGAGGGCGCACTCCGAGTAGAAGATGCAGTAGAGGATCGGTTTTCGAACGACGGCTCATTACGCTCGACGACTACGAGGCACGGCGTAGAAGACTGCAAAAGCAGACCCTGCCCTTAACTTGCCTGCCCTAAATGATGCCTGCCCTAAATCAAGCTTGCCCTTAACTGGCCTACCCTAAACTGAGCCTGCCCTTAACTGAGCCTGCCCTTAACTGGCCTGCCCTAAACTAAGCCTGCCCTAAACTAACACTCAAGTCCGCGTGGCTCGCGCGCTTCGTGCGCGCGTCTCACACAACAACGATGAAGTGAGGT